CGTAAATGCAGCGGTGACATCATCACTGTGCTGTATATAGCCTGTGCAGAGAACAGAGCTGTAGGAGGGGCCCAGCAGGCTCCATCCAACACTAGCTGCCTGCAAAAAACTACAGGAGGGGCGGATACAAGACCAGTCCCCCTGCAGAAGGAGAGAGCAGCAGTGACAGGTCTTTATTACAGGAGCTCCTACACAGAGGCAAAGCTTCATGCTCGATCACTGCACAGATCTGGAATGCACACCATTATCCAAGGAAGAATATACATGCCTCTTATATTTAGACAATATTTGCTGATCCCAAAGTTCGCCTTCAGCAATTTCTATACTCATCTGGTAAAGCTTAAAGCCGAACTCCAGGTACATGTAAAAGGCACATATAAATGCAGCTCTACATTAATTAATAAAAAGATAGGTCTTTTTTTTTTTACAACTATCTTAAGTGCCATGATTTGACTTGGTACCAGCCTCTTGCAATCCCCTGTACAGCAACACTCGGACTGGAAGATAGAGGGGCGGTTCAAGGAGCCAATCAGGTGTGCTGTAAGCAACTGTACTGGGGTGTGAAATGCGTGGCCCACAGACGATTGTGCCCATGATACTTCCTTGTCCAGTCCAAACCTGAGCTTATCCCTACTTATCAGTCTGCTGCAGAACCTTCACTGTCCAATCAGCAGGCTGGGGGTAGGGAAATTATATCATCATATTCCGTAATTGGCTGTGTTGTGAAAGGGCTGTGTAAATCTCAGGACAGGATAGATAGGTATGCAAATCCTTTTGGCAAGTAAAGCAGCTCCCATGCATGTGTTTGGTCTATATATGCAGATGTGTGACCGACAATTAGCATTAAAAGGAACCTGCGGGATAAATATGAGAACTGACACTGTTGAGTTGTTTTTAAGGTGCAAGCTCCGGGCAATTTGGGGTTCCAGTGGCTGGAATCCCTTATATCCCGTTTAGATGCGGCCGCTGTACCCATTCAAGTTAACAGCGGCTGCATCTGTAAGCGGCAATACACCGTATATGGAACTATTACATGCAGATCACCGTTACTGGACAAATCTATTCCCCCGGAGCAAACTACCGGAGTGCTACTGATCTGTAACCTGCAGTGATCTTCACACATACCAGCAATCAGCTCCCAGCACAGGATCCCTTTTGTCACTGATGTAGGAATTGAAGTTATCTTCTGGAGTTATTGGTGATGGGAGACTTCCTGCCAGGAAGCTGATTGCTGGTGTGTGTGAGGACCACAGGAGGTTAGAGGAGTAACTAAATGCTGGGTTCAGGTGCCCCTTCCTACACGCAGTAGAACCCCAGAGACTTCTATGGTGTCCAGAGACAGATCGGTCTCCTGTCCTCATAGAAGTGTTTGGGGTCCTGCTGCATATGAGCAGGCAGCAGGAAACAGAAGACACGCCAGCCAAAAGGTGAACATTGTAGCAGACTATTGTTAGACTTGGAGCCTGAACTGTGAGAGTGTACAGCAGAGTAGAGGCTGAGGAAATGCTCCGAAAATGCTTTTTGAAAGTTTCGGTATCCTTGAAGTTCAAATAAATCAATAAAGGTATTTATATACAGTATGTGTGTTTTTTCATGACATGTCCAACTTGGTAAACACTGAACTGCTTTAAAACATAATTTCTTTGTCTTGATGTATGTTTTCTAGTGTAAGAAGCCCTGGTTTTCATGCCCCTACATCTGGGGCCCTGGCTTGACTTCTATGTTCCTCTCTGCCTTCCTCTAATAATAATGAGTTGAGGTGAGTCTTGGTTGATATTGGCAAAGACAGTTATCTCTAACACCTATATTACCTCTTGTTGGCTTTAATTGGAAGTTGTTTATCCACTTCTGTGCTGTGTAATAGGTGCTCTGTACTGCCTTTGCAATCTTGTTTTTCTTTTTATGCACTGTGATGATTATACTTTTGATCTTTATGTTTGTTTCTGATGTTGATGCTGTAAACCTCTTTGTCTATAAAAAAATGTAATACATATTTACTAAAATGTCAAAACATATATAGCAGCTGAGATGAACTAAGCTGGAAGTTTCTTAACCACCTGCGAAACGGCCACTGTATTAAAATGGCCAGTCCGGTGGGGCATTGTTCCGGGAGGATGTATTTGTATGTCTTCCCGTGAACGCGTGTGGCCACGGCCACTGCTCCTGCTGTCATTAGACAATGGAGAGCTGTGGCTTTACACACACAGCTCTGTATACTGTGATTGTTGTGTTTGGTTATCACTGTTTACATTGCCAAGCCCTCCCCTTCCTCTTACATCAGAGGCAGAGGCATAAAGTGATGAATGGATGAGTCGTGTATTCATTACTCACTAGTGGAAAGAAGCTGCAGTAGCAGCAGAAAAAAAAAAAAAAAAAAGTTTAAAATAATTTGTATCCCCCCTCCTGCTTATGTTCGATCCATTCTGTCTCTGCTCTGACCTGTATATTAACCCTTTCACCTCCCTTATTCTGCACATCTATACATTAACACCTTCATCCTCCCACTGTATGTGACCTGTACATTGACCCCTTCACACCTGCGTCCCCCCGTCTATGACATGCTGTATATTTATTGCATCTAGTGCCCTATTACCAAGCTACATGTTTTAAGCCCCTCAATGTCGCCTTGTTTATTCACTACCAAAAAATTGCAGCAAAAAAAAAAACCCATTCAGATCCCCTTGTGTCTACTTTCCTAAAAAAGGGTAATTTCAGGGATTTTCATCCCGTCCTGACATTTTTATTTGCTATGATTTATAAATGAAAGAGAAAACAGGCTTAGTGGTTATTAAGTAACAGTAAAAGAAAGCTTGATTTGTCCCCAAACTATATAAAATGAATTTCGATACAATGTTACATAACAGAGGAATTCTCAGCCAAACTTGCGCAGTGCTGAAAATGGAAAAATAGGCTGCTAATGAATGGGGTGTAACATGCCGGTACTGAAGTGGATAATATATGAAGAGTCCCAAGTCCTCATAGTCCACACATCACACGGTCTGTTGTGAAGGTCAAGGTATGAAAACCGCTTCCACACTGTCATAATACTGCACATATTAACTTGTATGCAGTAGCGCACTGCAGCCATTTCAAAAAGAATGGGCTGCTAATACATGGCAACTGAACAAAAACAGGCCTGCACCTTTTTTTTAATGCAGCGCACAACAGCATAAGACACTTGTGCATTGGGGTGTCATTCTAAACAAAAGGCATCACAACACATGGCACAGACTGCTGTTGCAGTAACATGCACATTTGTGCAACACATTCCTCTGAAAGAGGCCTAAAGGCCAACTATATTTTCAAATAACAATTATAGTGACCCCACTCCGTATGCTAACTAAACCACACTGCAGATCAGTGTGCGGTGCAATTCTGTCTCCACTGCAACCCAGAACCACCGACACTGAACCCCAGATACACCCTTTCTGCCAGCTAGCACCCCCTTTCCACCCAGCAACTCTGCCACTATTGCTTGCCCCATCTCACCTTTGCAGGGACATGCAGAGAGGAGAGACTGTGCTTAGAATTTGAGGGCTCTCTGTCCACTCAGCATTGGGCTCTGACCACTTTCTCCTCCTCCTACGTGTTTTATGTAAAATACAGCAGCACTTTTTTATCACGCCTCCCTCCTAAACGGAATCTGTATTATTATTTGGAACATGCAACGTCTAGATTAGGCTGAAACTCCATTTTACTTCCCACATTTTTCTTTTAGAATAACTACACAAGATAAGTCAAGAGTCACAGTACCAGGGATAGCTTTATTCAGAAAACCAAACAGCATTCCACATAAACCAGGAGGCCACACAGTTTCCGGAGACTGATCGGGAAAAAAACAATGAAAACTACAGTCGTTGCCATTGGCGACGACGAGGAATTATTCAAAAGAACCTAAAACTTCATTGCCGACAAAAGACGGGACATGGTGAGCTGGGCCGGGCCTCCTCTCCAGGGCTGAGCTGCGTTGTCAAGCAAGGACAGGAAACAAATAGAAGGAAAATCTAAAGCGACTTGTATTGCCACCTGTGATTTCTAAAGGCTCCCAGCTAAACCGACTGTGCACCGAGATCTGCAGCATAACCCCAGAAAAATAATATATTTACATCACTGACCTGGTAGCAATTACTATCAGTTTGCCAACTAAAAATTGCTTCTTTGCCGCTGTTTTGGTTTGCTTTACTAAAAATGCAAATTGTAAAATGAACAGAGACAATGTTGCTAATATGCTAGGGCCTAAAAGCAGCTTTCATATCAGTAAGCATTGGGAGACCTAAAAATCTGCTGTTTTTTTTCAGCTACAGGGTCCCATTATAGTGTGAGCTACGTTGCCTTAAGGCAGCAATTCATTTTTAAAAGGATGTCAACACGTCCCAACACACGGAAAAACGTACTTGCACTTTTTTGGAAACGCAGTGCACCACAACACACGGTATGCGAGTTCTAAAAGAATCGCAGCACATCATAGTGCACATATACCCATGTACTAATGCATGTTGTAATTTGTGCAGGTGCAAAGCCAGGATTAATGGAAGTCTACAGATATATATTTGGAAAGGGACTATTTTACTTTACGGTAACGTCCGACAGTTTGCAAATATTTTAAAACCGTTGGTCTTTTGTTTTTTCCATTTTCTAAATCAGGGTCAATATTAGTAGAGAGCAAAAGAGCATTTACCAAAAGCTTTAAACATGTTGCGGTGTCCTACCCCAGGCAATCGGCCTCTCAAATCACCACACTGAACTGTGTCTCCGTTACTGCAGGCATGCCACTTACAGCCACAATTAGGAAGCAGCAGAAGTTAACAACCACTGCATTGTTAACACAGCAACAGTTACTGCTTCCCTCTTTTCTGGCTGTACTCCGCTTTATTCTACTCCGTCTGTTATGTCCTTTCCAAAGAAAGCAATGGAAAGGCGGGGGCTTATGTCTGCAGTGAACGAAAGTTGTCATTTTCAGAGTCTTCTGAATAATTTAAACATTAATATTGAATTATTCTCCATGGTAAAGGACTGCACCTCCGGTACAAGTAAGCAGGATCCCGCAGTCACGAAGGAAGGCTCTGCTCTACTTTATTTTACCAATGTCGCCTTTCAAGATACTCCCACTATAGCTACAATGCAAAATAGATGCGTTACAAATAAGCCCATTATGTATGTAACGATTATGACTTCACATTCAAAGCAACATTTGATTACTTAATGGATCTACAGACTCTCCAGAGCAGGTGCGTAATGAAGAATGAATGCGTGTAGACATACAGCTAACAGAATAAAGGTCTTTTCCATGCAGCAACGACATTTCATCCTTAGATTCAAACAAATGGATCAATTCGCTAGATACTGAAAAACAGATAAGTGCAGTTTTGCTTGAGATCTGGATCTCATTCATCGCAAGTCATACTGCCCACTATACACAGCCACTAAACATATCTACACGAGAAAACGACGGCTAGTCCACAGGTACGAGGAATAAAATACAAGTTCCTGCGATGCAGTACATTTGCACCAAGCCTCTTTAAATGTACCTATTTATAAATATGTACAAATCAATTACAGGCACTTGAAATGTCTTTGGTTGGAAGAAACCAACATTGCGAAGTTGTGTGTTCCTCCCTCCCCCATAGAAGGACACATTCTCCTGGTGGGGTCAACAGGCAATGACTCCAGTTCATATCTACTGATGGTGCAGGAGAAGTGGCTATGCTTCAGAAAGAGCAACCTGAAAAGAGGAAAAGAAAAATGGGTTTATTTTTCAACCTTGAAAGAGGGAAAAACATGACCCTTATGCTGCATGGTAGGCATGTATCCAATTCCTGCAGAACTCCCCAGGAGCCCTGAACACTGGGGCACACCAGCTACTACTGCAGTTGCCATCTCTGGCCTGCCACCTCCTGTTCCTCACAACTTGCTATTGGATAGTGAGGACTAGGGATAAGTCAAATCGGCTTGATGAATATATTCCAGCAGACTTGTTCAAGCTCGGATATTCATATGTTCTTTACATGTCAGACAGATCTACACAGAAATACCCGTGTTGCACACTGTTGTGCTTTATAAATGTGTTGGTATACTTAAAAAAAAAAAGAAGTGCGACTGTAGTTAGGCCAAACTGCTGTTCTAGAAATTAGGCCCTCAGTGTCTTGGATTCTGGGCTCGCGGATAGGCTTTAGAAAAAATACAAAATGTGCAGCTATCTCTAGTCACCTGCTATTAAGGCTAGGTTCACACCAGATGCAGTGCGTTCTGGCCCTTTTCTGGCATCGCATTGCGGCTGGCTCACTTTTTGTGGGGCAGGAGGGGGCGTGGCGGCCCATTGACTTTGTGCCTGCGGTCCGGTGCGATCAAAATAGTGCTTGCAGCATGCGCAGGCCTTGCGATCCTGTGCGGCCGGAGGGCGTGGTTACGGTGCCATTCACTTCAATGGCCCGCCATGCCCCCTCCTGACCCACAAAAAAAGAAGCCGGCCGCAATCAGATGCAGTGAGTTCGGGCCAGAATCGGGCGGGAACGCACTGCATCTTGTGTGAACCTAGCCTAAGACTTGCAGCTTTTAAAACTTTTACGTTGATAATTACCTTCTCTTGGCAGAAGTCTGCGTTGTTTTGTCTCATCTTGCTTGGTCGACCTCTGATGACTGCATAGCAGAACATAGTGATGACCATTACGAACAGGAAGTAGCTGGTGTCCATCAGGTGCAGATTAATAAGGGAGCGGTCATCCTGGAATCACAAAGAAAGCACATACTGAGAAATCAATTATCAACAAAAATCACCGTTGTGTCATGTTCCTTACAATACCACTTGAAATATCTATAAATGGAACATACTGCAAGGTCCTGAAGTTCATTTGAATACACCTATATGGTCAATAAAGGTCTATGAAAGGGGAAAAAAAGAGCTGTCACTGCATTTTGAATCAATCTGGTTTTATTTAAACTTCGCCCACATATGTGTTGAACTTTGTTACTTTTGTGTGTGGGGGAAAAAAAAAAAAAAAAAAAAAAAGGTATTGCACCATGTTATTCTGGAATAAATATTACGAAAAGGCAGGAAGTACCGTGGACGTCATACATTTCAGTGACCAGATTAGATCAGGCAAAGCTGGATACATTTTAAATAATATTGAAGAATTGTTTTGATAAGTAAGATGTGGAGAAGAGGAGTGCACAGGGTATGACGATGACCAGAATGTGTAGGAGAGGATTATGGGGGCAGGTGGTATGTCTATAAGAGGAGTGCACAGTGTATGGTGGCAAGGGGTCAGTACAGGAGAGGAGTGTGGAGGATATGGCTGTAGGTGGTATGTTCAGGAGAGGAGTGCTAAAGATGCATCAGCAGGAGAGAAGAACAGAAGGTATGAGAAGGGGCAATATGTGCAGACTGTTTAGCAGCAAAAGGTATGTACAGAAAAGTAGTGTATAGGGTTGGCATCAAGTGGCATGTGCAAAAAAAGCATGTGGAGGGTATGGTGTCAGGTGATATATGCTTCCAAGAACCACCCACACTCCGTACAGTCTGCAACCTTCCAATGGTGGTGGTGCTCTGGTGATCACATGGATGGCGCCGTGCAAACCTCAGAATAGTCTCAACAGGTCACCGGCACACACACAGATGAATTCAATAGCTCTTAGATATGTTTATTAAAGAATGTCACGACATGTCATTAGAAACTGAAGCTAGCGTTTCGGGACCTCACAGAGACCCTTCATCAGAGCGACATAGTGACGATGGGGTGATATATGCAGTGAAGGAGTGTTGAGATTATGGTGGCAGGCAGTATGCGAAGGATAGGAGTGTGGCGCATATGACAGCAGGCAGTATGTGCAGGAAAGGAACACGGAGGGTATGTTGACCGGCAATATGTGCAGATAGGTGCATATATAGATTGTACATACTGTATATGTTGAGTGTATAGAGTGTTTGTATTCTTGTAAAATAATGAGATGAAGAACCTAGGATTCTGAAGGGGCTCATAGGGTTTTTATTATTATTATATTATTTTGTATACACTCCGTTGGACTTGTCATCTGCTCTGGAATTGTTATTTCCAGTAAAACGCTACGCTATCTTTAAAAGAACAGAGGATGCCTGTGACTTGCTTAAAGATTGCATTCTATATTCTTTCACTACTATACCATCACACACACACACAGGTAATGGCCAAGGACAAAGCACAGAGAAGCAAGGGAGGAGAAAAGGAATTTGGAAACCCAGCACCCTTATATGCTCACCCCATGGGGTAGCACCACTACCCACAAGCTTCTCTGCTGCCAAAATCCATTCTCCTACTCTGCAGAGCCCAGAACGTGCCCAGCAGGAAGCATGAAGGCTGAGGTGTCAGGGTGAGCATACAAGAAAGCCAAGAGTATGTATGGGCAGGTCCCTGCCATAACCAGAGATGGGGGCCACTCTCTTTGTGCTACCTGCTCTGGCTGCCAATACTACAACTGTGGCAGTGTTGGGAAATGCTCCATCCCCAATCGAGCTGGCAAATCTATGAGAAAGTAGGACAGGGAATGCAATGCGAGTTGCTCCTCCTTTTCCTCAAAGAGGTCCAGTTGCGGGGGTTTAAGCTTCCAGTACCAAGGAGGTTAAAGACTGTGAGGTATTAAGAATAAGGTGGGCAGGGAAGAATGTAGCATGAACACACAATATTTCTCGCTACTCCACATTACGTTTATTAGGACAGGATTGGGAGAAAGTGGGGAAGAGGTGGTGAGTGGGATCACTGTGGGGTGAGACAGGCTACTGCAGACAAAATCCTCCAGTGGCAAAAAGGAAGTGGAGCTTAGCATTAAAGAGAAATACAATTACAAGATATAAGCTCTAATCCATATTCAAAAAACTGTCAGAGTGTAGAAACGCTCAGTGAATTATGCAAAGCTGTGCTAGACTTCCAAGACGATGCAGTAACACTTGAATGTGAGTCACACCTCTCCCCATCCATGTGTGGCACCGCTCCCATAAATACACTCACCGGATGAGATGGACCAGTCAGTATGAAATAGTCATAAAGCACCCACTGTAATCACTTGCTTAGGTTACAATATCTGGTCCCCTAGGATCATAACATCCTATTTTTTCGGTGCCGTATGACTTGTATATCACTCCTCCTTCTCTCCAACATGCTCCAAAAACAACTCCAAAAGATTCATAGCGTAACTCAGGGACATCACTAACCAGGAAGTGGAAGCGATCGTGCGGCGGCTTGGATGTTGGTGTTACATTCTACAGCGGCCTGAATAATGACCTCACACGGCATGTTATATATGCAGTGACTGAGCAGTCTTCAAGCGTTTTTATATTTTGTTTTAATAAAGTTACTTTTCCTGAGTTACGCTATTAATTAGGGATCCACCGATACTTTTACCGATGCCGATACTTGGCATTTTCATGAGAACTACAGGGGGGCAGCTAGGATATGGCTGTGGCGCTCCACCACTGTCCTGAAATCATTGGTCTGTATTGTTTTAGAAAAACTGTCACATGACAATAAACAAAAATGTATCAGTACTTTAGGTACTTGGGCAAGTATCAGTACTTGTACTTGCAAAACTGGTATCGGTGCATCCCTTTATTTATATTTATAAAAACAAAATCATGCATTAAAACAGAGATGTACAAATCCCAGGAGCTCCGTGTGCTCCTTACAAAGGACAGCTGCCTCCTAATTTTTCTCTAGTCTAGTCTTGGAGCTCAAACAGTATCGGTACTTGTACTTGTATTGAGTACTGTACTTGGTATCAGTGCATCCCTACTATTTATAATGCAATTTTCCCTGTGTGGCTTTTGGAGCAAGTTGGATAGGAGGAGTGATATACAAGTCATACGACACCTAAGAAATAGGATGTTATGATCCTAGGGGACCGGATATTGTAACTTAAGTAAACGATTACCACTTCAGTGGGTGCTATATGACTATTTCATCCTGAATGGTCCATCTCATCCGGTGAGTGTGTATGTGGGAGCGGTGCTACAAACAGAAGGGGAGAGAGGTGTGACTCACAGTTAAATGTTAATGCATCATCTTGGAAGTTTAAGGTCTCGTTCACACCTAGGCGTATTGCATATGCGCGACCGCCGCGTGTTTTTTTACCGGGATTCGCGGTAAAAAAGTTGCGCGACAAACGCGCGTTTCCGACGTCTACTTGGCTGTATCCCAATGGAAACGTGCAACAAAACGGCCCAAAGTAGTACCTGTACCTTTTCAGGCGTGGGCCGTTTTGTAGCGCGTTAGGGACGGGCGGAAATACGCCAAGGTGGGAACGAGACCATTGAATACAATGGGATTTATATTTTTGAGCGTTTTGTAGAGCGTTCGTCGAGCGTAGAACGCTCTACAAAACGTTCAGGTGTGAACGAGGGCTTACACAGCCTTGCATAATTCACTGAGAGTGTATATGGACACTGTGAAAGTTTTATGAATACGGATTAGAGCTTGTCTTATAATTGTATTTCTGGTTTTTGTGAGTATGAAGTTTATAAGCAGGCTGTAATGCCCATACATTTGTAGTGAGTAATCGCTATATGCACTTTATTTTAGTGCTGAGCACTTTGTACTATTATTTTGTGGGCGGGTGTTTAAAACCCTTTTCTTGCACAGCCGAGTGTTTTAAGCATTAGGTGAAATATAGGAGCGCAGATTTTTTTTGTTGCAAAGCAAGCATTAAAAGGGACCGAGTCAGGTCTCTTAACAAATCAAAAAGCAAATACCCTACAAGAACTATTATATTTACTTCTTCAGCAACACTCCACTCCTACATCCCCTCCATTCCAGCACAGAAGTGCGCGTCTCCTGCTGCCCACTGGTTCCTTCCGCTGACATCTAGACCACTACAGGACTCAACAGTGACGCAGTAGTCGGAAGAAGCAAGCAGCACACAGTAGGGGACACAGGGATTCAACACCCCTGGGAATGCTGAAGAGACTAACAGAAAGGTGAGTATACCGTTCTCTTGCAGGGAAGTTATCATTATGTTATGGTGCACTTGAAACTAACATCGGGGCAAAAGAGAGGGGGTTTAAGGGCAGGTAGGGATGTTTAAATATGTTGTGAGCAGAGATCAGACCATGAACGGAAGAAAAAAAAAAAAAAAAAAGACTATTTATGAAGGCAAGCAACAATATCTGATCTTTCCATAAAATTGACATGTGCGTGGAGCTGGACGGCTAACCATGTGTTATTAATTAGTTATCAAAAGAAGCAGCAGGAAAACAATGCAAGGATATAGAATATGGGAAATGTAATCAGTAATGTATTCACCTCTGGAACAATAACTGTGAGCTTAGGGTTTAATGCATGGTACACCTTCCCAATGGCTCCCTTATAACACCAGAATGGGTTATAGTCCTGTGCATATTTGGTGCCAGAGTCTCGAGCAGTAGTGAAGATTTTGTACCACACGGTGGCATTGCTGTACGTTTCAGGAATGCAGTGAGGTGGTTGTCTGAAAACAAAAACAAGATAATACATTAATGTCACGGTTTTTAATAGGCTATAATTAGCATGCTGCGACAATGACTTTAATGAAATATAAGCTGCTCACACAGTGACTGGGAATGCACTGCTCACTGCCGTCACAGTCATACAAGTGGTAAATACCACCTGCTCACAGTGCCCGTGGAGGATACATTCATCAGAGTTCCAGGCAGCCGGCAGAGTGAACGTTATATTCATTTCCTCGTGGTACTCTCTGCCTTAGAGAGGGAAGCAAAAGGGAGATATAAATAGACATTCTTCAGATGGCAATAAAAGCAGAACATATAATTCAATATGATGGGAAAAAAAATCAAAAGGTCACACAGGAAAAAACCACGAGGAACCAAACATGACATACATGTTACATAAACCGAAGCCTTTCAATCATCCTAGATCTTAGAGGTCATTGGAATCTCAGCAAGTAACACATCCATATTTAACCCCTTTCCACCCGAAATCACGATATTAACTTTCCTCAGCATGATATGTGCTGGGGTTATGTTTTATCAGAAAAACTGACATATTCCCCAGCTTCAACCTGCCAGACGGGACTGTTATTGACAGCTCTGGTCCCTGTCATCAGGAGCCATTCCTGATCAACTATGACAATGATCAGATGCAAGGCGAAGGTTTCATTTAGCCTGGACAGCTAAGCTCCAATGGCTTCTGGGCACAAAATGGGAGTATAGAATGAATCCTAACTGTACACTGCAAATCCCAGCAGTGAAATAGTCAACCTTAAGCTGGCCATACACCTATAGCGGGGACGACTAGCAAGATACTGAAGCTTGGCCCAGTGGGAGATTCCTCCATCCTCACAGTTTAGCATCGATGGAGGAATCTTACACGTGACCTCTGCCACATTTGAATGTATGATTATTATTCAGGGAAGCGCTGAAAATGGGAATCATTTTTTTCTCCAAAACATTCATTTCTCAAAAAAAAGTTTTTACTGGGGCCGAGAGAGAGAGAGAGGGGACAGGTCAGGTGCGGTGCTGCTGGATGGGTCAGAGAGGTTCGGAGGCAGTGGGTGTGTGCATTTGAAATAGCCAATAGCAGGCTGGCTTTTGCACCCGCCCACTGCTTGCTGCCAATCAGCAGAGCAGGACCTGAAGGAGAACTTTGAACATTTCAAATTGCAAGAGCCAATAGAAAACTGGCTACTGCACACACCCACTACCTGCTGTGTTTACATTCCCTGGCCAAAGCTATTCAAGCCATGTGTGCTTGAATAGCTCATTAGAAGTGGAAAGGTGATACTAGGGGTCTCATAGACCCCTAATGTCACCTTAAAGAGAACCCCTGCCCTCTCCAATGTGCCATCACGTAGGTGGCTTTTGAGCCCCACCATGTGATAGCAATAAAGTAAAAAAAAAAAAATAAGTCAAGACCCCCCGCCCCCCACGAATGCCTGCAAACACTCCTCCCAACCGCAGTGCAATCGCCTGCATTACAACATGCGGTACTACAATGCCGTGCGTTCAAGAAAAAAAAATTGTGCATGCAGTCTTATTCAGAAGCTTTATTTTTGTGACACTCCATTTGTGCATTTTATTTTAAATTAAAGATGGTATTTAATTTGTTTTCAATTATCCGATCAGTCAAAAAAAATTAAATCGGCCAATATAATCGATTATGAAATGAATCGTTAGTTGCAGCCCTGAAAATGACTCCATCTAGAAAAGTGTGTGTCAAGCCAAAACATTCTTTTTAGTATTAAATACAGTAGAAAGGGGTGAACCTCTATCAAGTTATTGTTTGCTGTGTCCTGCTGGGCATATTTCCATTCACTTCTTGTCCTGAAATTGCAAGTGATGAAAACCTGAATTGCCAACCCTCCATACCCTTCAAATCTGCCTTTACACATACACTTTAAAAAGGGATATACATTTTTAATGGATAAAAAAAAAAAAAAAAACTTTAACAATGCTCCATACAAAAAGGGACAATACTCTGCATTATACTTCTCTACCTTCTCCTATTACTGGTCACAAAATGATCACAATGAGGCAGAGATAGACACAAGCAGTGTATATAGTAAAGGATTCATCATATGATACTGTGAGCAAAAACTGCCGGTTGTGCATGCTAGTTGGGCATGTTCGGGCGAGAGCACGAGGATCCTTAGACCACTACAGTGGAGGGGTGTGTAGAGAGGCTCAAGGGACCGGTCCAAGAGCAAGCCAGCCGTAAGGATCAGGTGAATACTTTTTTTTTTTTAGCACCTAGACAAAAACTAGAGCATTTAACCATAGCAGTGCGGACGTAGCCCCATTGCAAGGGTTAAGAACACTTTTGCTCGGAGTTCTGCTTTATATATTTCTATTCCATGCAGATTACAGACACCTTCCCTTAACCTCCCTGGTGGTCTTATTATCTCAGTATCTTTTACTTTTGAATTTCCCACCGGTTCCGCCCCCGTGACGCCGGCGCTCGCAGGGAAGGAACCCGGAAGACGGATGCCGGCATTGGCCGAAGGACACAGCGGAGCTCGTAGGGACAAGGTAAGTGACACTACAGTGTAATCCCGAGTGTGGCTCGGGGTTATCGCTTTTGGTAATTTACTGAAAATTAACCCCCGAGCCACACTTGGGATTGGCGCCAGGAGGGTTAAAAGTACTTTAAAGAACTTTCTCAATACTGCAACTTGAACCCTCTTCCCTTTGTAGATTGAATTTGTAGATTAAATTTGTAGATTAAATTTGTAGATTAAATACTATCACAAACTGTTCTCACTGTTAGATTGACAAATAAAATAACCATCTGCAACCAGCCCAACAGACTTCATGTGTAGCTAAATTCTGTAACAGTCTATCTACATATATTACAAAAAGGTAAATTATCTTTATAATATAATCCACTGAACACAGGCCTGATTACAACAAAGGACAAAAATACTGTGCCCAAATAATTGTACGAAACATGTCAATACAATCCGAGAGCCTGTCTTGTCCAATATACATGCTCCAAATTTTAGATCCTTACCTGTAATCATCTTGTTCACCAAGACACAATTATGCTTCCCTTGGTACAAAATAACATGGGTCACATGCAACAAGAACACAGGTCACATGCGACACATGCTTTAATGCAGTGGTGGACAAAATGGAATTCAGGAGCCAGTCTGCTCAATCCAGGAGGCAACAGCTCGAGAAACCGTCAAAAGTTAGGCCAAATTTTAAAGGAGCCTACCTGGCCCCTGGCATTTGTACAGCCCTGGTTTAATGTAACCTTATCTTTTTAAGGGCATTTTCTACTGACACACAGGGCTCAACTGAGAACTTTCACTTAACATATATTGTTCAAAAGGTGACAAGAAAACTGAAAAACATAACCCCTTAAATTATGCACATTATCTAATTAGTCCTTTATGATGAATGCATTTCTGTTAGCCCTGTAGTCTAGAATTCTCAGGTCATAACTTTATGGATACCTGAAAGTCCAATTTGATGACCAAAAATGGTCGAGCTGAGATGTGTGATGTTCCGAGAATAGCCTCCAAAAGGTTTTAGAGGATCCAAAGTCAGGGTGATGGCTACAGAGATATTTATGGGTCCGGTGTCTTCCTGGGCCTGGGGGGTCTGCGTGGAGGACCTAGACTGGCCAGATGTGACTGTACTCTCTGGTGGGGTGGTATCATTAAGAATATGCTTCAGTGTTTCGTTTTCAGATATACAAAAGTCCAGATTATTAAATCTTAGGAGAAAGGTGTTCCAGTCCTGTAGTAACAAAAAACAAAAGAAAAAAAGATTTTTAAAACTAAAAAAGTTATGCAAACATAACTGAACAGAACACAGCCAGGAGCTCAATACAAGGATCACTGAACAAAGGGTAACAGAAATTTGTTGTTGATGGTAACAATATACCACAGGCTCAGCATAATACTAGTCCATCCAGAAAAGTGTCAGAGAATGGTGCCAAATGACAACATGGAGGACCAAAGACTGCCGGAAAAAGGTATATACATTGATTTTTTTAAAAAGGGGTGGGGGGGGGGGGAGTTTGGCATTAATGTCATTGTTTTAATAAACCTGTTTTTATGCACAGTCTCTTCTGACAAAAAAAAAAATCTTCCCCTCTCCCCCAGCGATTTTTTTTTTTCTGTGTACATTGTACGACACGTGCACACTCAAGCAATTCACCTCATCTCTAAGATGCCAGGTGCCAAGGAGGATGCAACTCCTGTGTGCAGGCGTAGGATTGACATAATCAGTGGACACCCAATGGCTGAAAAGGACTTCTGAGAACCCAGATGTATTGGTGGCGGAGATGGCAGTGGAGGGGGACTGAGCTGAGGATCAACAATGCTGCGAATACTTGCACAGTGGGGTAAAAACTGAAAATTTACAAAGCAGTTAACTTCCGCTTTAAATAATGTCATTTGGTGACATTATTCATTAGCACCTTAATGATGGAAATGAGTTTCAATGACAGCTTCACTTTAAAGGGCATATGAAGGAAAAAGATAAAGATTAACTGCAGTTATAAATAAAAAGACCTTGAAAATTGCCATCTTGCACTATCCTGATCACATTTCTAAATGAAATGACAGACCTCAGCAGAGGTATACCCAATGCCACACAATGACCTCAATTAGGTTTCAGCAATAAGGAGCTACATGTGTCTGCTATAAGTTCTAAGGATGCACCGAAATTTCGTCCGTCTAAAAATATCGGCTGAAAATGGCACTTTTGGCAAAATGCTGAAAAGTGCCATCTTTCGGACAAAATTGCGGTGCATCCCTGGTTTCTCTCCTCCCCACTGGGCACTGCTGTGTTCCCTCTGACACAGAGCAGCATCTAGCGGGGAGGAGAGAAACTTTCAAAAGGAGGCCAAGCGGTACGGGGGAGGAGAGCGATGTGAGCGGCCAGCGTCTCTACTCCCGCACCGCTCAGCCTCCTGTGCCAGATTAGGAGAGTGGTGTGTGGGCGGAGACAGCTGTCAGTGCTGTGACAGGAGACTGAGTTCTCCTCCCGCACCACCCCGCTCAGCCTCAGGCGGAGACAGCTGTCACAGGAGGCTGGGCTGGTGGTGCAGACGAGGAGTCAGCTGTCAGAGGGGATAAAGCTCCCCTCCCTACCTGCTCAGCCTCCTGTGACAGCGAGCCAGGATGGAGAGCCGGTACAAGCAGTCAGCGATCATTGAGTGTTTGTAAATAATTGAGGACATAGTATGATTATGTGTCCCCAATTATGAATGAATGGTAAGTGATCTACATTACCTCCTGTTCATTCATGATTATGGACATGGTAAACACACTATCGCCACAAGTTATGAACAGGAACACTCAGTATAGATGATTCCTGTTCATTGATAACAGGGGCTCCAGAAAAAGACATTGAGGGCTCTGTGTCCTCAATCTCTTTTTCTATTTTAAAAAGGGATATGTCAGGGATCTGTTTAGACCCCCAATATTTCCCTGAAGCCCCCAACAGTAAAAGTAAAAAAAATAAAAATTTATTAAAAATAAATCAAATAATTTGAAACAATTTGAAAAGGTTAGAAAGAAAAACATTTATTTTTTCAGTTTCGGCCTGACTTTATTTATTTTCGGTTTTGAGAATTTCATGTCAGTACATGTCTAGTTCTGGCATTTAATTCAGAAATAGGATCAGAAGGATGAGGGGTGTAATACAGGGCTCTCTTCATAACTACTTTCACACTTTAATCTATAGCCTCAAAATCATAGATTCACCATACATGTTACAATTAGATTTACCACAACTATGTGCAGTGATAGGAGGACCTACCAAAACTATCCAATCCATTTGTATCCAAATCAGGCAGGCTCTTGCATTACAAACTTGTTAGATTTAAATAGAGCTGCAGCTAACGATTATTTTCAAAATCGATTAGTTGGACGATTATTAAGTTCGATTAATCGGTTAATCGGATAAAAAAATTAAATACATTTAAAAAAATGGCTCCAGTGATGGACTACTAGTCTAGAGCAGTGCAATCAGATTATAACGTGTGGTGAGCTATAGAGGAAAGCTGTTCAATCTGAAATAGGGTAAGTTTAAGCTCTACCCTGAGGTCAGTCCTGCTGAGACCATGTGGTTATTAAGCCCGGTGCTTTTATAGAAAACCTTTATGTATATATTAGCCATCCACCAAGCCGTCAGTAGCAGATCCTTTAAGTCCTGTAAGTTATGAGGTGGGGCCTCCATGGATGGGACTTGTTTTTCCAGCACATCCCACAGATGCTCGATTGGATTGAAATCTTGAGAATTTGGAGGCCAAATCAACACCTCAAACTCATTGTTCTTTTCCTCAAACCTTTCTTGTACCATCTTTGCTGTGTGGCAGGGCACATTATTCTGCTGAAATAGGCCACTGCCATCAGGGAATACTGATGGGTGTACTTGGTCAGCAACAATGTTAAGGTAGGTGGTACGTGTCAAAGTGACATCCACATGAATGGCAGGACCCAAGGCTTCCCAGCAGAACATTGCTCAAAGCATAACACTGCCTCCACCAGCTTGCCTTATTCTCATAGTGCACCATGGTGCCATCTCTTCCCCAGGTAAGTGACAAACATGCACCCAGCCATCCACATGATGTAAAAGAAAACGTGATTCATCAGACCAGGCCACCTTCTTCCATTGCTCCGTGGTCCAGTTCTGATGCTCACATGCCCATTGTAGGCGTTTTTGGCAGTGGACTTGGGTCAACATGGACACCCTGGCTATGCAGCCCCATGCGCAAGAAAATGCAACGCATTGTGCGTTCAGGCACCTTTCTATCAGAACCAGCATGAACTTTTTCAGCAATATGAGCTACAGTAGCTCTTCTATTGGATCGGACTACATGGGACAGCCTT